TTTTTTTTTTACAAAAAAAGGATGAAAAAATTTCAAACACAAATGACAAAACTTATCTACTTCTTTCAAAAATATAAAACACTACCAGTAAAATAAACAGAACTGCTTCAGTGAAAAAAAACTTCAGCTCCACAGGTTTATCATCACTCCTAATGTGCTAATACAATGCATGCCTATAAAATATAGTACTATCAATGATGACTAATTTTGCAATAAAGGTCTTATGAAAAAATTTTGCAAGGTAAATACTTCAAGGGCTCCATAAGTAAAAGATAATCCTGATACAAAACACTCAGTTTTACCCCCCAAAAAAGTTACAGATTGCTAATTTTTTTTTTTAGTTTATTACTTTGGGGTTTATTGGGGAAGTTAATGCTGACCGACACAGTCATGAAGATACTTGTGTTTTCATGCCCCAAACTTGCAGACTGCCCATGAGTTAACTCGTCTTTGCATGTATAGATAATGCAGCCTTTAAGCCTGAAATCAATATCGGTCTTTATAGGAGCAGTCTACATGGTATTCTTAGTAATCTTACTTTAGGTTAAGATTCAAAGAAGTGAATGAGAGTGAGAAAAGCCATGACACACCAATACCCATGTTTCATTTCGGCCATGCCCACTTGTCCTCTTAGTTCTACATGCCTTTTTATCACAGAACTGTTTAACCATTATCCCGAGCAGATTGCTAATTTTTAATATTTAAAGCCATGCCAAACATATTACACTGTAACAAACATAGGAATAATTTAACATGTCCTTAAAATCATTTCATTATGTTAATTTAATAAAAATAAGGTAGAAACTGAAGTTTTACCACCAAAAACAAAAATGTGAGAATTTTTTTTGAAATTACTAACAAAAATCTTTAAACTTAATTTAAAAAATCAAATAGTATCTTCTCAAAATTAGTTCAATTAATGGCTCCAGCCTCTGTAAGGAAATAAGTTTATTTAGAAAAACTAAAAATACATAAATTGCCTACCTGTAAGCTCCTCCTTTGTTTTATCTACTTCAGAGAGTTGAGTATAAATTTGGTTCCTTTCTCCTTCTAGGGTTTTTAAAGAAGCATTTAACTTTAAAGAAAGAAAGAAAAAAGCAACATTAATCCAATGTGTGTGAGAGAAAGAGAGACAGAGCATAAACCATTAATATAATGCCTCCAACATTCTGAAGCTATTTTATCACTTTTTTAAAAATTAAATAATCATTTTATTAGGGGCTCATACAACTCATCACAATCTATACATCCATCATTTGTGCCCAGCACATTAGTACATATGTTGACTTCATCATTCTCAAACACTGCTTTCCACTTGAGCCCTTGGTATCAGCTCATTAGCATTATCGTCTAGCCTAGAAAACAACTGAGCAACTCCTGTCCTGAAAAGCTCCCAAAGTTACCAACAGCTGCAAACTTCAGAATAGGAACAGAAAATAGCACTGAAAAATGCCTAAAGACTGGCGATTTTCATTCTATTTATTGTCACCACATAGGTTTTGATTAAAGCAATTCTCAAATTACATTTACTAAGATTTCTCAGAGATCAGCTAACATGCCACTCCTATGAAGAAAAGGGGATAGAATAAAGCAAAAGAAAATGAACCTTAAAAAAGAAAGGAAAGAAAATGGACCTAGTGTTTACTTCTCAAATTAAGGTAAGGAAAAACGGAGGTAGGGAACACTGAAACCAGAGAAAGAATGCATACAGAAGGAAGTGTGAGAAAAAAACAGTAAACATACATTCCTAACGCCAACTTCTAATTTGTAGAATGATACAAACTAAAAAGTAATCATATAAACCTGTTAATTTCTAATTATATTAATATAAAAAATAAAACAGCATCTGATGAAGAAAAGTCTAATCACTCCTTGAATACATTTATATGAAAGCTAAAATGGACTTTTAAGATAGATCTACCATTTAATCCCTTTCTAATTCTTTCTTCATATTCTTTGTGTTTATGTAGTAATACAAACCTTAGCAGCATGGATCAGTTTCTTCAAAGCTCCTCTTGGCTGATCATCTACAGTGCAAAACAAAAACATAACTATGAATTAGGTAAACAATACAATGCCATGGCAGCCATCCAACGGATTTTATTAGTTAACTCAGCTGGAACCTTATATACCTCTTCCTGATACAACAAGCAATTCGGAGTAAGAATGGTCCTTGGACCTGTGCCCAGAAAGCTGAACAATAAAATCACCGAAAGTGCCATAATACCATTTTAACACAAGGATCTTTCAGCACCAACTTCAAGAACAGATTATAACATAAGAATTCCACATTCATCGACATACAGCCTACAGTCTTAACTATTCTCAGATTCCATCAAGTTGGTTCAGGCTCATAGCAATCCCATGAACAACACAGCAACACACTGCCTGGCCCTGTGCCTCCCTCACAACTGTTGTTATATTTGAGCCTATTGTTGCAGCCACTGTGTCCATCCATCTTGTCGAGGGTCCTCGTCTTTTTAACTGCCCATCTACTTTACCGAACATGATGCCCTTCTCCAGGATGGTCTCTCCTGAGAACATGTCCGAAGTTGGTGAGATGCAGTCTCAACACC